TGAATCCAGCACCATCAACTCCAGGAGGTTCCCATTATTCAGAAACTGAACTGGACTGGACAAATAAATATGCAGGGTTAAGGTACAATCACAATAGTCCCAGAGGATCATAGGCTACTCTGTATTTAGAAAGAGACAAGAGGTGGTGAGTTTAAGCTAAAAGTCACCATGCCTCAGGTGAGGAGCAAGGTCGAGAATGCAGAACCTTCATCATGGTTATTGGTACAGGAATTGAACCCACACAGCTGGCATCGCAAACCAGCCATCCAGCCAACTGAACTAACCCCCATAAAGAGAGGTACATGTGCAGGTCAGATGCTAGGAACTCTGTAGCAAGTATCTGACCTCCTGTTTAATGATTCTGAATTATTATTTTCACATTTTATCAGAACTTATTTGTAACATAAGAGGGAAAGTTCACCTAGTGATCCAGAAATTAAACTTAATTCACCTGCGGCATTTATTGTGCCCCTTGTTCGTTATACTTCTGAAAATATGCTTAGTTTAATTTTTGAGATATTAATTTTAAGTGCATTCTTTACAAATGGCGTGAACCATCAAGCTTTTAAGATTTCAGAACTTACTTTGGGTAACTGAGTGTAATGGCCCTGATTAAGTAACACTCTCAGGTACATGTTAAATATTTTTATTGCTCTGCAGTTAATCTTCAGGAATGACCAGAAGGGTGGATTTAGTGGCTGTTTTCCAGTTTCTGTGTTTTTCCAACTCTGCAATACAACTTGGGTTTTACATACAAGCTACTTAACGTGAATAAAAAACCAGATCCATCATGTCAAGCTTCCTTTTGGTACAAAATAAATATCAGTTAGTGAGTTGACAAAACAAACCTTTCCCTATGGCAATCTGGAGGACTATTGAACAATTAGGCTATCTGTTTACTGCCAAAATAAGAAAAAAATCTAATCCCATGGGTAGATGCTGGCCTGTCACATCAGAACAAGATGCCAATAGTACAATCTCCAACAGTAGTAACTTCCAAGGGGTAGACCAGCAATGGAAAGGGTATAAAAAAAGGCATGTCAATAATGTACTGCTGATCAATATTGTGTTATGAAAAGAAAGTTCTTGCACTGTGACTACTTATGTACATCCCCCTTCAGGTTCAGATAACAAATTCAACATGCATACATTAAAAAATTATTGTAAATTGTGCTACTTATGAGAATATCTGTTTCATAGTGCCTACACAGTTGTCTCTGATTTCATTTGTCTAATGTTCAATATGTAACCGTCCTCCTTGGGTGAGAGGGAATTTAAGTAGAATCTTTGTAAGTCAAGGAAATTATCTGGTGTTAGAAGATTGAACTGACGTTCAGTCCGAAGACACCCAAATGAGGCAAATCTACAGCATTCCACTGAGACTGTTGATCACTGACTAGCCAAATGGGCTCATTACAGGGCCTGGAACAGTAAATCCATCACTGCTAACTGCAATTCTTCCCATTCAGCTGTGGATAACCTTCTAGACTCTACCCCAGTAGTTGTCTAGTAACAGGATGACTCTCATTGCTTTGTGCTATGTTCCCAATTTTATCAGATTAATACCAGAATTTCTGTGCACCCTTGGAAAAACCAAAATCTTTCTTTTGCCAAGTTTTACCAAAGCTAACAGTTGTCATTGCCGTCTTTCTAACAGTGGGGATAGCCTAATCAGCCAACGCTTGAGGCTTGTCGTTTTGCAAAACCTAATTGAAAAACAGGTGCCTTTTTAACTTGTGGAAAATCTCTTTGGATGAAAAAGTCACCCACCCTCCCCCACTGTCACTGGCCTCTCATCACATGCTGTCATAGAGTTATCACCCCACCCACCCCTCCCTTGACTGTCATTGGTCTCCAGCATCCCCATCACATTCCCACAGATTTCCAACTACCCTCCCACCACAACTCTCTCACAGATCTCCCAATTCCCACCCCACGCTTCCTGCTGTTCACAGGGATCTGGAGTCACTGCAATTTCCAAACACCAAAACGGGGCCACCACTGTCAAAGGTTTGGAGACACTGGCCTAGATTTCTATGCCCTCATCTTGTAAGTGAGACAGGAACACAATCTTTTTACTCAATAGAAAGATTACTATCATTTAATTGAGCCTTGCCCCAGCACTTTCCAGTAGAGAGAGAGAGAGAGAGAGATATCTTTCACCATGGATTGTGTATCATAAAAGAGAAAGGAAAGATTTTGAGCACATCTTTAAATGGGAGCATTAACAGTGGTTACCAATAAGCAGGGCACTTGGTAAGCTTGCCAGCAATAATAGGCTAAGATGTAGTCGAAGAAAGTGGGTCCTGTGGTTAGATTTAAGGTTTAAGGGGAAAGCAGGTTGGTACAAGATAGTGCAAAAGATTTAGAAAAGCACGGTTCCATTGGGTTTCAGAATGAGCACTCTATACCACCAACAGACATTCTGAGATAGGTCGTAGCTGCTCAGGTAATTCTGCCAGAAGACCACTATCACGTTCAATGGTTTCTATGCTTCCGGAGGGCATTCATGCTCTTTGTTGAGGCTAACATTTCAGAAAGCAAACAATTGATGCAAGGGAATTGACTGCTGTTGGGAAGAAGAGCTAAATATTATTGTGCTTTTTCTTTAAAATCTTTGTCTTCAGCCTGATAAACCCTTTAGGTTCTCCGCCTCTTTAGCAACCACATCAGGCATAGGCCACCTATCCTGATCCTTTCACTGGTGTTAGAACTGGTCGACTCTTTTTTCCATTGAAAATAAGCAAGTCTGCAGGAGGAGCCATGAAACTTGACAACGGAGTTACATTACAGTAAGATTCCTACTTAACCTATCATTCTATCACACAACAGCACTATTGTTGAACTGAAATAGTCAAAATATAAATCGACTATGCAAGTTAAATTCTGGCATTTTGAGGGAGTTGCCATTAATCTTTTTCTTCTATAGGGGGACAAAAGGAATTGGTACGTAATCAGATTTTCAAACAAATCTTCTAAAATCAAGATTTGGGCGACGTCAGAAAGAGAACTGTTTAGTCAAGTTAGATGAACTGTTAATCTTATGAAGTATTGTGGGGTCATTATTTTGTATTATTATGAAAAGATATCTTACATTAATCAGAGTGGGATGGGGAGGGGGGTGTTGTTCAGTGCATGAATATAGACACCCGTGATCAACTCAACTCACTTTTGTCTTAAATAGGGAGTTTCTCTCAAAAAAAAAATCACTTAAGGGATATTAGCAGTGCTGACAAAATTGATGACCATCCCTATTTGGACTTGAGGAGATGGGTGAGGGGAAGGAGGGCAGGTCTCTCATTTAATATTCTACATGGTATATGTACATCACAAAAGTTGTTAGACAGGAATTTCCAGGATTTTGACCCGGTGACAGAGAATGAACAACAAGTAGTTGAATTTAGGATGGCAGATGATTTGGAGGAAAACTTGCAAATTATGGTGCTCCCTTGTCCACCTAGATGGTGTTATGGACAAGACCAAACTCCCTCAAAATATAATCAAGGAGACAGCCTAGACCCTAACTTTTATCTTACATAAAAGCAAGTGTACAGTGCAATGTTCTGGATGTAATTTGATTGGTCCACTACTCAGTTTTAAGCCAAAAAAAAAAACATTTTTTTTTTTATTTTAACAGTGGTTTAAGAATAAAGAATTGGCATAACTTTAATCCTATTGAAATGCTTAAATTATTTAATTACTATTCAACTATTCCAACATAGCAGCATCCCATAAGCACACACTTGGCAAATTCAGCAAAACAGATTTACCTCATATCCTTTCTCCCGGACTGGAGGAGATAGCAACACCAAAACAAACAAAAATAATCTAGCAGCAGAGAGAGAACTCAAGCTTTTTGCTGCAACAGAGAAAGCTGTACCAATCAGCTTCAAACTCCAACTTCAGCTGAGAACAAAACTAACACCTTAAGTCTGTGTGAGCCTGACTCCATCTACTCATGCTGCTTTTGTCTAATAATTAACCAGAAAAAACACTCAGGGAGCTCAAAGCTGTTTACCCTGTGCTCCTGCAGAAGACATTACATCACCACCTGTCTGGATGATATACAGTGCAGAACAAATCCCTCTTAAAGGCACTGTACAGTCACACTCGTGGAAGGTGCTGCTGAAGGGGACTTGGTGAGTTGTTGCTGTACGGAAAACAAATGGGGCCAGGACAAGGACTTCCTGGTAGGAGGATATGGCACTATACTTTGTAGTACAGAGAGCTTCAAATCAGTGGAGAGGTTTGTCAAAATCCCATCCAGTTAAATTTTATTCAGGGTCAATTACACCACACTTAGTCACGTTGTCTTGATTTAAAGGACAGTCTTTTTCACCTCACCATGGGGAGTGATGATAACACAAATGGAATCAGTTGCAATGTGTTCATAACTATGCTTAATTTGGAAAGTCTTGAGAATGGTGGCAGTTTTTCACATGGCACAGAAGCCTCCAATGTGTTTCTACTCTACGTTGTCCAATTCTAAACTTTTTATGAACATTAATCTTCCCTGAAGAAAACTGTAAATGGGATGTCAACATGTTTGAGTGCAGTTTTTGATCCTCAATTTCAAAAAGTATTGAGCATAAAAAAAATTAATTTAAATATGACTGACACTGAAACACCATTTACCAAAATGCATGGGGGGGTGGATGTGGAAGAGTGCTATTGTTGCTCGCCCACCCCCCCCCCCCCCCCAGATTGTGAAAATACACAAAGCTTCGAGCTGGCTTTCTCTTAAAAGACCCAACAGCATGCAGCTTAGAACATTTGGCAAATGATTTTGTGAGTAAGCAAATAACATTTTTCACATTTTAAGATAGCAGATGGTTCTGAGGATCCCCTTTAAGAAAAGCTAACAAATTCCAAATAAACTTTAATCAGATCCCAAACTGTGCCAACTTTGGATTGATTTCAGAGCTGTTCAAATGTGCTTTGCTATCCTAGATTTGCACTGATCCCAATATTTGCTTCAGTTAAAAAAAAAGAAACAAAGGCATGATGCGCACCATTGCTTTATTGAACACATATAAAGAAAGGTATGTGGAGGTGTTCTTTCATAAGCAAGCTGCAAGTCCCGAGGTGATGTGAACAGCATGCCATTACAGCGCATGTGGACATGTTGAAGCGGTCACCTGCTTTTTGAATTAGCTTGACGAAAACAATGGGTGCAACAAGTTGTAGGCTTTACTTTCCATCCCGCAAATGAAACATCTCGTCCTTCACCAGCGATTACAAAAGATGCTAACCTTGGGTTATCTTCAAAGTGGTGGGGCTTTGCAGTTTCCAGTGGAGAGTTATAAGTAGCTGAGACATAGGATCTATCAGCTTTCGCAGCACATTTGGGTAAAACGGTATGTTCAACATTGTTGGGATGTAGCTGTAGTGCAGTTGCTTTCTCCAGCTTCAAAGTTGCTATTTTGTCTGACTGGTTTTGACCTGCATATTCTGTATGGACACCTGCATTGTTTAAATGCATCTTAGGTTGTTCATCCCCAAAGTGTTTGTGGAAAATGTGAGAGAGACCCTCAGATCCAGTTTGCTTGTCTATCTCTGGTGCAGTAAATATTTCAGCCCTGGAGTCCATTTGCACTGTGTGGTGAAAACAAAAGATGTTTAAACAAAAACACAAGTTTCAACTCCAGTCAAAGGGTTCATACAGGCAGCATTGATAAATTTCTAGCTCTCCATCCCCAAATATTAAATAAAAGCTTCTATGCATTTGATTTGAACCACAAGAGTTTCAAAATAACATAAGGCATCTCGAGTAAGTACTTTTAATCAACCTATTCAAACATATTCTGACACACCTCCAGGACAAATTGGATGTGAACCTGAACCTTCTGGGCCAGAGGGAGTCGGGGGTAGATAAGACAGGTGTGGTAGACTTAGTTGTGAAAGGAACATAGAGTTGCATAAAGGACTGTCAGACCTTGTAGAAGCTAGAAATGGTAACAGTAGAAAGTGGTGTAAATTATTAGGCAAACAGAATTTCAGAAGCCATTACAGGAGAAACTGATGCATCATCAAAAGGGAATGAAGAAGGCGATTCAGTCTGAGGGCTACAAAGCCAAAACAAAAATGCATAAGAAACTGAAGACAGAGAGCCATATACAGGGGAAAAAAAAAAGGTTAGTTAGGGAAAGGGTAGGTCCACTCTAGGACAAATGATACTGCAGGAAGTGGGTGAGATCCTTAAATGAGGATTTGCACTGGTATTCACAAAAGAAGAACATGCTGGGCAGTGAGTCTAGAGAGGCATGTGTTGATATTCTAGGGCATGTTGATATATATAAAGAAAGGTAGTGTTGAATGTTTTGAAAAGCTTTAAGGTACACAAGTTCCCAGGACCTAACGGGATGTATCCCAGAATAGTGAAGTTTTGAGGGTGGAAATTGCTGCGGCCTTGGGCAAAATCTTTGACAGTTCTCTGAAAGTAGCAACACAAGTGGATAACATGGAGAAGAAGGCATATGCTTGCCTTCAGTCAGAGCATTGGAGTATAAAAAAATCTGGTAACTCATGATGCAGCTATATAGAACTTTAGTCAGGCCATGTTTGAATAACTGTGTACAATTCTGAACACCACACTACAAGGAGGATGAGAAGGCTTTGGAGGCGGTACAGGAAGTTTTGCTCGGATTTCCCTGGTTTGGAAGACATGAGCTATGAGGACAGCTTGGACAAACTTGATTTGTTTCCACTCGAGTGTTGCAGCCCGAGATGCAACCTGATAGAAGTTTGCAAAACTAGGAGGGGCATGGATAGAATGGATAGTCAGGGTCTTTTTCCCAGGGTACAAATGTCAATTACTAGGGGACTAAGGAGTAATTTTGTACTAAGTGCCTGGAATGTGCTATCAGAGGAAGTGGTGGAAGCAGATAAAATAGCAAAGTTTGAGGCATCTCGACAGGCAGCAAATAGAGGGATACGGACAACATACAGGCAAAAAGTTTTTAAGTTTAGAAAAGATTCGTGTTGACACAGGCGTGGGTGAGCCATAGGGCCTGTTTCTGTGCTGTACTGTTCTTCAAAATGCAGTCCATCATAACAGAAAAAAAAAGAGACTGCCATGTTGGACTTGTCTGATGTGGCATGACCAAGACACACACATAGGAAGAATGTTCAGCAGAGAAAGCACAGCACCAACTATAGAAAAAGAAGTTATTTGAAAGCACTGTCAGTTTAAACTGTAGACGACTAGAAAACAAAAAGGAGAAATCACTAAAGCAAAGCCATATTCAAGATGTCAAAAAACTACAAAGGTCATAAAAAAAAACTTATAGGAGAAATCAAATTATTCTGAAGATAAATACTGGAGTGTCAAACAAAGTAAAGTGACAGACCAGAGTTTAATCTTGGTGCCAGAGCTGATGTTTCAGTATTGTAATGTAAACATAAATGGTATAAATAAATAAATTACGATCATTATCCATTAAATTGCAAGGTCCTGAAGGAAAATTGTTAATAGTAAAATGCCAACTCATGGCAAAACTCAGGGTATAAGGGAAAAGAAATCATGGAATGCCTCTGTCAATCAGAATACTGAATGTTTAAAGTTTGAGAAGATTGAGAAAACCAGCAAAACCGGTGTAATATACAAAATACCATGCAAGGACTGTGAGAAACACTACATAAGCCAAACCGGAAGAAAACTGACAATACAGATACAGGAACACCAACTAGCCACCAAGAGACACGACCAATTCTCACTGGTCTCACTACATACTGACAACGAGGGACACAAATTCGAACGAGACAACACATCCATAATTGCACAAGCCAAACAGAGACATGCTCAGGAATTCCTGGAGGCCTGGTATTCTAACCAGAACTCCATCAAACACATTGAATTAGACTCCGTATACAAATCACTGAGAAACAGAACCTGAAGTAATATCAACCACCCCAGCAAACTGAGGCATATAAATAACAAGCGGGACAGAACACCGATGCTTCACTGGAAGCATACTGACCATGTTACCTAGTAGGGCGACGAAACATTTGCAACCAAATCCAGTGGCTTGGCGAGCATGTCTACAACCTCAACACTGAAATGTTTTGTATTAAGCAGAAATGCAAGCTTAAAACAGAGATGAATCTGCAAGGTAGATGAGATTTCAGTTACAAAGTAAGCAAATGAATTTCAGCGAGTTCCTAAAATTGTTCAAGTCTTAGAAGACCAAAGGTAGAGTATCATATTATCCTTGAGGATGATGCTAAACCAATCTACTTGTACATTGATAAAAGTGCTCTTAGACAAAATCTAAAATATATAGAATATGTTGTGACAGGGAGTGATTTCACTGGCGGCTATGTCAACAAGACAGTGTATCATGTTTATGGTCCCAAATCCAAACAATTTGACCAGAATCAGTGTGGCATTAACTCTGTTAAACAAAACAGTGGAACGCAGGATTTACCCAATAGCTGTAGGTGGAAGGAAGTCTAGAAAAACTAATCAAGTGTTCATCAAACTGGATCTAAAAGTGGAATTTTGGTCATTACCTCCGGATGAAGACTCTGCAAAGTTTACTTAATTATTAACTTAATAAGTGTAATTATCATTTATTTTGTCAATTATTTAAACAAATTACCCTTTGCAATTGCTCTCATTCCAGAAAAAAAAAGTCAAACACATCGGAAGGCAATGGCATGTAATATGCCACATGGACTCCGAAAAGAGAGGAACACGATCCAAGAATAAAAGTATTGTATTGTTCAGTGTTAGACCTGCATTCCAGGTGCAAGTTTGCAAATGCAAAGATAGATTTCTTGGGCACATTACCCAAAAGACCAGAATCACAGCTGATCTACCCAAAAAAAATAAGCAGTAAGAGAATAATGGAAACATCGCAGAATCTCAAAGATTCCATGGGATGGTAAATCAAGTGAACAGGTTGCTAACAAATTTGGCAGAAGTTAACAAACCTTTGAGACAGCCTTTATGCCAGACTCAACAACAGTGCTAGAATGTCGATCAGGAAAGGCATTTGACAACATCAAATAACTCCTGATCTCTTAAGGAAACTTGGCACATTATTATCCATGACAACAAGGTGCAGAGCTGGATGAACACAGCAGGCTAAGCAGCATCATAGGAGCAGAAAGGCTGATGTTTCAGGCCGAGACTCTTCATCAGAAATGGGGGAGGGGAAGGGGGTTCTGAAATAAATAGGGAGAGAGGGGGAGGTGGATAGAGGAGAGGATAGGTGGAGAGGAAACAAACAGGTCGAAGAGG